AAATACAATTATAAATAAAAGATTATTTAGTTCCAGTATAATTAATACGTAAATTTTTAAAAAAAGTTTATAAAAATACTTTATATATATAAATAAAAAGCCTTAATAAACTTCGATTATTAATTTTAATCATTTGATAATTATTTATTTAAAGTATATAAAACAATAAATGGGTTAGATTGTGCCTTAAAACTTTATAAAAGTTTAGATTAGTTAGAATTAACTGAAGATTAATTCAAAAGTTGTTTAAAAAGCTTATATTGTCATTCGATGATACGTTTTGTCGACATTTTTAGATTTTCAAATCATTATTAATTAACAAATAAAATACATTAATTGATGAAAAATAATGAATTATAATAAATTTGTGTTAAATTCGTTTGTAAATAAGATTAAAATATTAGTTGTTAATAAATTATTATACTTTATTTGCAGGTTTAAAAAGAAAAAAATGTTTCCTAAATAATTTAAAATAATAAATATTTGTTTGATAAAATAAACGTAATTAAATTCTTTTATTTTGGTATTATAAACGAAATAATTTATAGAATTAATTCATATATTATTTATAGTAAGGATTAACAAATATCAATATTTAATTAAAATAATATTGAAATTATTTAGAATTATACAAAAAATACAAATATAGACTAAACTATAGATAAAATAAATTAAGTTAATTAAAGTTTAGATATATTAGTTAAATAAGGATCTCCCCTAGATGAAATTTTAGTGAAATTTAATATTACTGATAATGATTTTGAGAAAATTATTTCAGGAGGAAAAAATATTTTTACTATTTTAAAATGAATATAAAATTATTTTAATTATTATTATTAATATATATAAACATTATTTTTTTAATTAATTAATTAATATTTTATTTTTTTATTTATTTATTTATTTATTTATTTATTTATTTATTATAAATATAAATATAAATATATATATAATTTTGATTTTAATTTTATATTTTTTTTTAATTTTTATTTTTTATTTTTACTTCTTATTTTTTTAATAATTTATAAAATCGTTTTAGTATCTTTCTTTATATTTAATATTAAATAAAAAATTAATAAATAATTTTTTTTTTATTTTAAATATATTTAATCATTAAAATAAATTTATTTAGAATTATATTTATAATAATTTTTAAATTGATATTTTTATTTCTTTTTTTATGTTTCGTATATATTTATATATATAAGTATTATCATTCTATGTTTTTAATTATTTTATTTTTTTTGTTTGATTTTAATATTTAAATTTTTTCATTTTATTTTTTATTATTAATTTATAAAATACGAATTTGATTTTTATTTGATATTTTTCTTTTAATATTTTTTTGTTTTTTTTTATTTTATTTATTTATCAAAAAATAATATTAATAATAAATTTAATTTATTTATTATTAGTAATTTATTTTTTAATAATAATAATACTCAAACATAATTATCAAATATTTTTTTTTAAATAGTTTTAATATTAGTAATATAATTTTATAAAAAAATAAAGTTTAAAACGAAATATAATTTATAATTTTTTAAATATGTTTCTTTTATATAAAACTATTAAAAAAAATGTATAAAATAAAAATATAACAAAAAAATATTTATAAAAATACATAATATAGAACTATTTATTTTAAATTAACATTTTTAATAAAGATTATCCATAATATTTATGATAACTTCAAAATTTATTTAATCTTAATATAATTTATAATTAAATAATATAATATATGTTATTAAATAAATAAAATATAATTGTGTATTTTGAATATTTTTGTTATATTTTAAATTATTTATAAAGATAAAAATATTTTTTATTATAATTTATAATAAAATCATTTACAAAAGATGACAATTAATAATGTATAAATAATAATTATATATTAAATAAATAATAATAAAAAAAAAAAAAATTATAATTTTATTAATATTAAAGATATAAAATTTTATAAATAATATATATAAATAAATTTTACATTATTATTAATAAAATAAAAATATTTTTTAAATCTTTTTATTTTTATAAAGATAAATCAATTTTATTAAAACTAAAAAATATTTTTTAAAGCTTTAACATTTCCTTTAACAACTTCAATTAGTATTTCTTCATTATAATTATTAGTCAATTCTTAATTAATAATTATTCTTAAATCTTTAAAAAGTTTTCCATTTAAATCTATAGCATCAAAAACAACTACATGTAGTGTATTTTCATCATTTTTATCTTCAGATTAGAATTCTCTAATTTATTTAAATTTAATATCTTTAATACATACTTCAATGAAATTTCCAGAAACCAAATTAAAAGTTACGTTTTCTTTATTTTCACTAAGTATTATTTCTTTTACAAAAATATTGATATATTTATCTGCGACTTTATATATAAATAGTTGATTTAAAGATAGAAAAAAAGGAATCAAACTTAAATATTTATTCTCAAAATAATAAGTGGAAAATAAAACTAAGGAAATCCATATAGATGAATATATTAGCCTTTATTAATTATTGGCTTTTGCTTAAAGTTAATCTACTGGATTTTTATATATTTAATAACTTGTAAATAATTTGATTTAGGTTGAGGGGGGTTCTTCAGGCTTTTTTTCTAAGTTTTTTAAATCGTTTATGAATTTGTTTATTATTTAATATTATATTTGTTGTATTATTTTTGGATGAAATATTTAGTTTTTTTATTTTTAAATGTTTTTTAATATAATCATTTTTTTTTTATAATTTTTTTTTTTTTTTTAGAGGGTATTTATTAAATATATATATATTTAAAATATAATAATAATTATAAAAATGGAATAAAATTTCAATTTATAATATTAAATTTTCAAAAAGAAATAACAATTTAATAATTAAATAAAGAAAAATAAAAACAAGATTATTTTTTATAAAAAAGGAATTAATATCAAAATATTTAAGATTAACCAGAAAATCTAAAAAAAGCATATTGAATAATAATAATAATGTTAAAATAATTAGTATATTATATTAAATTAAATAAATTTAAAGGTAATTTAAGAATAAGTAATATATGAAATGTAAGTTAATACTAATTAAGAATTAAAAAATACTGTTGAATAAATATAAATTGGAATACATAGTGCTTTGGCAATCGAAACAGCATATTAAATTATGGTTTAAAGTTAATATAGAAACGAAGAAAATTAATAAAATATAATAATTAATGATAAATTAATAGAAAATTTATTTAAGTTATTAAATTGCAAAGACTATAATATTTTTTAATTTGTAATAAAAAAAGATTTTAAATATATTTTATATTTTTTATTATAATATATAATTACAAGGCTATAATTACTTTAAATAATTTATTACTAGAATGGCCTTTATATAAATAATATATGATTGAAAATTATTAATTTGAATAATATTTAATAAATGTTTTTTATAAAAATTTTGAGGATGATTTTTTTTTAGAGTATTATTTTTGGTTTCTATAAAATTTTACATAAGAATTAAAAGAATAAAAATAAGGTTTTATTTAATTAATAGATGAATTTTTTTAAATTTTAATCCTTAAAAATGACAATTTATAATTATATATAATTAATTGTATATATAATTTTAGCAAAATATAGTTCAAAAATGTTATTTAAATGAAAAATTTTTAAAGTATAATTAATTTTATAAAATAAGAAGAATTCATATATAAAAAAGAGATATATTTTATAATAAAAAATATTATATATTTTGCTAATATTAATGAATATAAAGAAATAGTATAAATATTTATTAAATATAATATACATATATATATATGTATAATTATAATTATTTTTTATAGAATAAGATTTTTAAAATTAATGATTATTTATTATATGGTATAAATAATATATAAGAAAATGAAATAATTTGTAATATTTTAGATTGTTTTAATAATATAATGTAAAGAAATAATTCAAATATTAATTTTATTATTAATGATTAAATTATATTTGAATAAATATTTAATAAACTAAAATCAACATAAAATTTATAGGTAATAAAACATAAATAATAAAAAAATATTATAATAATAGATTCATATAATATAAATATATATATATATATATATATATATATCTATATATATATATATATTTTATCTTTTTATTTTAATTATTTATTATAATAATAGATTTTACTTAAATTTATTAATTTTATTGAATTATTTTGTTATTAATCTAATATAATTTATATTTATTAATTATGCTAATAATAAAATTTATTAAGTTTTTTAACATAAATTTGCTATATTCAATATTAAGAATTATAAAAACCTGCATTATAAATTATACTTTCATTAATTATAAAAGAATAGTAATAAAATTCAAATAATTATATATAAAATTTTTTCAATAGCTAAATTTTTATATAAAATATATAATGAAATAATTTTTATTTTAAAAAATAAATCTAAAATACATAAAAATCTAAATATTATTTTAATCAATTATTTTATTTTTATATATATATTTTTATTTTAACTTATTAATATTTAATAATAATTTTTTTTTAATTTCTATATTTCTTTAAATATATATTTTTTATATATTTTTTTTTTTATAATTTTTTTATCAACATACTACTCTTAAATATTTTAATTATATAAATTTTAATATATATTTATAAATTTAAATATAAAATAATAAATATAATTATATAACTAATTTATATATAAGAATATAAAAAAAAAATCATTCATTTAAAATAGTATATCTCCCGAAAATAATAGCATCACTTCTCAATAAAACAACATCATTATTATTTTCAAAAAGATATTATATTGCCTCCTAATCACAATTTTAATTGTTTATTTAAAATCCACATATTAAATCTGGTTTAACATAAAGATCATTTAAATTTTCTATAAAACTTTAAATTTTATCTAATAAATTTTAATTTTAGTAAAGTAAAACCATAATAATTTTATTTTAATTATTTTTTTTATCAACATAAAGTATATTTCTTTCATTTTCGTTTTCAAGTAAATAATTAAGTAATTCCCTAATAGTAATATTAAATCCTTTTTTATATTCTAAAATTATATGAGGTGCTAATTTTCCTTTTATTTAACATTTTAAATCAGAACTGATGTATCCATTATCATATTTAAATTATGTATCTTCTTTAAAAAAAATCAAAGGTATACTTTATTTTACAGATTTATATTATATAATTTCTATAGGATAACTACCAATCTATTGATTATTTTAAAAAAATAAAAAATAAAAATATAAAAGTTTAATGTAAATAAAAAATTTTAAAATATATGTATATATATATATATATATATATAAATATATATATATTTATATAATTTTTTTATATTATTAATATTTATTTATTTATTTTTACTTTCTTTCCTAACTTCCATATGTTTGATGATATGTTTGAATATGGTAATAAATCTAGCATTTTTTTATATGATATTAAATTTTAAATATCTAAACCAAAGTCTTTAGCTATATCTAAACTTACCTAATAATATTTATTTGCAGTATTTAAAATTTCGGTCACATACTATTTCCTTTCTATATTATATGTTTCTAATATTCTATTTTATTCTTTTGGATTTTTAAAAATTAAATTTAGTTTGTGTGCTAAATTATGAGCTTCTTAAAGACCAGTATTCATTCCGAAACCTCCAGCTGGAGGGAAAGCATGTGCGGAGTCGCCTGCAAAAATTACACGATTTTAGTAGTATTTTTCGATTACTTCAGCAGATAATTTCCATGTTCCTGTTGATTTGATATCTATATCATCTATTTATTTCCTCATATTATCTTAAATTATTTATAATATTGTATTTTTGGCTTATTCTTTATTCATTTAAGTGTCGTAAGGGGGACATGTAGGAACTTAGAGCACAAACATGCCGTCTTTTTTAGAATGATTTACTAGACAGGCGACTATGTCAGAATTATAAATAAAATGAAGCATAGCGTTTTCTTTTTTTAGTTTAATAAATCTGCAAGCTTTTTAGAATGAAAATAAATGTTGAAAAAACTTTATAAATAAGGATTTCCAACTAAACTTATTTTTAAAAAATTTCTTATAAAAGAATGCTTGCCATCACAGGCTAATAAAAAATCAGCTTTTATTTATTTTTTTTAGTCTGTTTTTGTATCTATTAAGTCTATTAATACATAGTCTTTTTTATTCTCAAAAGAAATTAAATTATGACCCAAATATATACTATTATTATCAATTATATTGTCTTTTAATATATTCACGAAATATGGCTAAGGTAAATGAACATAACGGGCAAATGAATGTTCTTATAAAATTTTTTATTGCTTTGATTCTGGATTAGGACTAAAATGATCGTCAACGCCAAAAGGACCTTTTGGGTCAAATAATCTACGTTAATATCTATAATATCTATTTAAATTAAATATATAATTATTATGTTTTTTATTTTTTATACCGGAAATATTCTATGTTTTCACAATTTTCGTATATTTAATTAGTTAGATTTTTATTTTAAGTGTTTTTTAGCTCAGATAAAACTTCCATTGAACGTAAATTTATTAAATGGGCAGCTGGATGACTTATAAATTAGGTGCTTTTTTCTATTAAAGCATATGATAAACCGAATTTTTGCATGTACAAAGATGCTGCAAGTCCTACAGGACCGGCTCCGACTATTGCGACATTTATATGTATCATATATATATATATATATTTTTATATACTTATATGTATAGAATATTTATTTAATATATATATTTTTTTTTGATATTAATTTTGTTTTTTTAGATTTTTCTTATATATTCTTATTTGCTTATTTATAATTTTTGATATGTTTATAAAAAAATTTATATATTATTTTATTTGGAAAAGTTTAAAATTAATTTATTTATATTTATATTGTTAATATAAAAAAGGAAGTTTTAATTAAATTATTAATATTAAAATAATTTATTTTATTAAATTTTTGGTATAAGAAAATGAATTGTTTTTTTTAGGATATTTATTATTTCAAAATACTTATTTATTTATTTTCTCAACAAAAAAATATAATTATTGTTTAAAAAAAAAAAAAAAAACTAAATAAAATATATATATAATTCAATTTTTTTTTTTATAAAAATAAAAAAAATAGTAATATTAAATATTCTTTTATATATGTTTTTATTTATTTATTTTTTTTTAAAAAAAATAAGATTTATTTAATATATTCTTTTTTAAATTAAATATATAAATAAAAATAATATTTTTTTTAAAAAAAAAATAAGATGAGCGGAGAAGTAGCAAAATTATAAAGTTAATTAGAAATCGAAGTAAAGGAAATGCAAAACCTTCAAAAAGATTTATAAAAGTTAAATGAAGGTCGCTAAAGGCTATTGGAATAATAAAATGAATCTGATCTAGTAAAAAAAGAAGTCGATTTATTAGAAGAAGGGGCAAATATTTTCAAATTAATAGGACCTGTGCTTGTTAAATAAACATTATAAGAATCCAAATAAACTATTGAAAAAAGACTAGAATTTATTAGAAAAGAAGCTATAAAAGTTGAACTTCTTTTAAAAGACAATGAACAAAAATAACATGATAAAAAATCAAAAATTGTAAAACTATAAGAAAATTATTATAAAACTGCTATGGGTCCTTAATATGAATAGGCTTTAAGTTAATAATAATAAAAACAATAAGCTTAATGAATATAAGTATTACTTTAAGAATATTAAATAATTTTTTTTAAATATATTTTTTTATTAAAAGAATTAAAAAATTTATATTATATTTTTGTTTTATTATTATTTAATAATAACTTTGTGATTTTCATAAGTAAATAATGTTTATAAAAATTATATCTTAATAAAAAAAAAATAATTAAATAAATAAAAATTTTTTCTTAATTAAAAAAATAGAAATAAAAATTAATAAATTTTGTATTTATCTATAAAAAATATAATATTAAAAAAATTAATATGATTGGTATAATATATATAAATATAACTAAATAATATATGTAAATATATATAATATATATATTTATATATTAATATATTTATATATTTATATATATATTTACTTACTATTTTTACAAAAAATAAATATATTATTATTTTTAATGTAATTTTTCTTGTTTACATTTTAAATTTTTAGTATAAAATATAACATATATTACATTATTTTTTCAAAAACATTATTTTTATTAATTTATTACATATTTTTTTTAATTAATAATTATATTATTATAATATTATATTTTTTTTTATATTTAATTTAATTAATTATTGTGTTTCTTTTTAGAATTTATTAAAAAAAAATTAAATTTTATAAATTCACTACTTTATTTTTTGTTTATTTTCTAAATCTTTTTTTTTTTTATTTTTTCATCTTTTCTATTTATTAATAATTTTTATTATTTATCATTTGAATATTCTTTTATTGTTTTTATGTTTTTTTAAGTATTTAATAAAATGTTTTTGTTTTCATTAATAAATTTTTTTACAATAATATTTAATAAATTATAATCATTTGCAGAATCTTTAATTTAGCTTTTATAAATTTACAGGCATTCTCCCCAAAATTCTAATTATCTTAAAAATCCAGTATTTGGATAAGCTTTTTTGTGCAAGTTTTTCACTTTAGTTATACTTTCTTCTGCAGTACAATTCTCTTAGAACATTACGTATGCCATTACAGTACTTGCAGATCTACTTCTACCTTTATGGCAGTGTACAAGAATGTTTCCATTAGCTTCTTCTATAAATTTCATTGCATCAGGCCAGAAATTCAGTATAAAAAATGAAGGGTAGTCATAAATTTATAATTATAGATATTTAGCTTAATTAGGAAAATATTATTTTATTGATTTAGAACATACTAAGACGTATTTAATATTACTTTGCTAGAAAAACATACAGTCTCTAGATGTTATGACATCTCCAATAAATAAGTTATTGTATATTTTTGACATTTTTTGATAATTATAAAATAATTTATAAAAATATATAATAATATATAATAATATATTAATAATTTTATATAATAATTATTAACTTATTTATATATTAATTAAATTGAATAATATATATTTAAGTTTTATACTTATTATATAATTTTAATTCTTTGTATTATGTTTAATAAATAGAATAATTAAATTTAGTTATTAAAAAATTATTAATAAATTATATGTTTAATCTTTTAAAAATATAAATTATAAATAAATACAAGAACTCATATTTAATGATTAAATTAAATATAATAAAAACTTAAAAATATAAATTAATATATAAAAATAATAAAAATAAAAATGATACTTTAAAAAATATTTAAAATGAAAGATAAAGTTTTCAATTCAGACTAATTAGTTATAAAAAAGCAAAATAAATCACAAGAGAAAAAAATTTTTAAAAATAAAGAAAATAAAAAAGAGTAATAAAAAACTGAAAAATCTTTAGTAAAAATAAATATACATAAAGTGTATAATAAATATGAAGACTATAAACCTATTGGCGCATCTTCATAATATTAAGCAAATTACTAATAGGAAGATTTATTATATACATAATTTGGAAAAATGTTAAATGAAAACCAAATTGATTATATAAAATTAAAAACGAAATCATGGAATGGAATACCATAAGGTAAATGAATAAAATAGCATAATATAAAATATATTTATATTAATAATATAATATATATATATATATTATATATATATCTATAATAATATTATATATATAATATATAGCATATAGAGGCGTTGTATGGAAAATTATAATTGACTATTAATTAACAAATAGAAAATAAGCAGAAGCTTAATTAAAAAGATTAAGAGAAGAATATAATTAATATGTCAATTATTATTTTAAAAATGAACTTGTCCGTTAAAATTTTACTATATAAGAATAAAAAATGATTAAAGTAATCGAAGCTGATGTTCCTCGAACTTAGCCTTAATAATAAAATTTATAAATCGCCTTTAATATAGGAAATGTTGACTAGGATTTTAATAATATGGGGTTTAAGACATCCTGCATGCGGATATGTATAGGGTATGAATGAGATTGTGACACCTTTTTTTATAGTTTTTTGCAGTAATATATTGAATTGGATGAAAAAACGACTATCCAATACCTCCTAATATAGAGAGTATAACAAAATAAAATCTGGATGAAATTGAAGCGGATATTTATTGGTGTTTAGTTAGGATTTTAGATAAAATATAGGACAATTATACTAATTAATAACCAGGAATAAAAAGGTGTTTGGATAAAATAGGATAAATAATCTAAAAAATAGATCCTGAATTATCTCTACACTTTAAAAATGAACATGTAGAATATGTTTAATTTGCTTTTAGGTGGATTTCCTGTTTATTAGTAAGAGAGTTCCCATTAAAGTAAGTTTTTAGAATTTTCGATACTTTTTTAGCAGATGAAAAAGGATTTGCAGTTTTAAGTATGTATTTATGTGCAGCATTGATTTTAAAATTCTCAAATAAAGTCAAAAAAATGAAATTTAATGAAATTATTACATTTTTTTAAAAAATGCCAACAGAATTATGGAAAGAAGAAGATATAGAAATGTTATTAGGCGAAGCTTATGTTTTTATGTGTATGTTTGAATAAAGTTAAGGTCATATTAAATAAAATTAAAATTTTGGATGGTTTTGATCTAATAAAACTTTTTTAAATATATATAATTATGAATTAATATATATATATATATATATATATATATATATATTTATGTAATATATATAAAAATATAAATTACTTATTATATTGTTTTATTAAATTTTTTATCATTTTTTTTTTATTCAAAAGATTAAATCAAAATAATATAAATATATATATATATATATATATATATGTATATATATTTATATGTTTTATTTATAATAATTTTTTCTGTAAATTTTTATTTTTTGTTATAATATTTTCTTTTTTTATTTTATTCAGTAAAATATAAATATTAAGTAACAGAAAATTTTTTATCTTTTTTAGTTAAGATTAATCTTTAATTAATAATAAACTATACATATCAATATAATTTTATTCTTATTTATTAATTAATTCAATCTTTTGTTTTTACATTTGTATAGATTTAGTATTTAATTTTATTTATAAAAACATATTTCATTTTTTTTTTAAATAACTTATTTTTATAATTTATTATTTATATTAAAATTATATTTATTTTTCATTTTTTTTTTCTTTTTTTGATTGATTTATTTTATTTATTTATAATTATTATATATATTATATTTATTAAGTATTATTTTTTTAAATATTTTATTTATTAAATTTTTTAATTATATATATTTTTTTATTATTATTATTATTAATATATTCACTTTAAAATACTTTTTATATAAAAATATATAGTAAATTATATTGATAGAGCTCCAAAGAATTTTATTATTGTAAAAAAATAGTTTATATTGCTTTTCGTTTTACTGATAGTTTAATCGTTAATTTATTTAATTTTTTATATTTCTTTTTCTTCTTATAATTGTAAATTAAATTCTATTTAATTAATTTATTTTTTAATGTTTCTTTTTTTTAAATAATATAAGTCTTTGTTTTATAAACATTAGAAATCTTTATCGATATTTTATTAATTTTTTTACAATTTAGAAATACTTTAAAATTATACATTTTCTTAATAATAAATTTATTAATTTATATCCTAACAAATATTTATTTAATGATTAAATACTTCTTCCATATATATTCTGTTTTTAGGATTAAAAACTAGACTTTTATCAATAAAACTTTCAATAATTTAATATTTTTTTTTTATAAAAACTCTTTATTATTTTTTCATTTTTTAAAAGTCCATATCAAATGGATGTTTTTTATAAACTAATTCATGTAAAATAATACCTAATGACCATACATCAGCCTATATATATATAAAATATAAAAATATACATATGTAAAAATATAAAAATATATATATATATATATATATATATATATATTTATATATAATATTATATTTATTTACTTACTTTATTTGTGTATTTCGGATAATTTGTATTTGCAAGTAGAATTTCAGGTGCCATAGTACATGGAGTTCCACATTTTACACTATTAACATCATATTGAAATTATTCTAATTATTTGGAAAGTCCAAAGTCACTTATTTTAATTACATTTTGACTTAAAAGAATATTTTCTAGTTTTAAATCTCTATGAATGATTTTATGTTTATACAATTATTACATGCCTTTTATTATTTATTGAAAATAAAACAAAGCTTTATCAGGTTATATTTTTTATAGTTAAGATTATAAAGAACCATTTGGACAGTATTCTAGTATTAAATATGCTTTTTTTAAAAAATTATCTTTATAATAATCATATATTTGGAGTATATTTTAGTGGCTTTTTAATTTCATAATTATTCTTAATTCTTCTTCGAATTTTTCCTGTTTCTATAAATTTATTACCTTTATGGCTACAGGAGTGTTAGTACCTATTTTCTGACCCTTATATACTATACTAAATGCACCTTCACCTATTTTATCTTAGAGGGAAAATCTATAGTTTTTTATTTATATTTAATTATTTTTTTGTAATTTATCCAAGTAAAAATCTTTATTCTTTCTTATTATTTAATTGTTTATATGATTTATGTTTGAAGATAAGATTTTAGGTTCTATATATAAGTTTTAAATATTTTAAGGTTCTATATATTGATTCTATATATTTTCAGGTTATATTTATATATTTATAGGTTATATGTATATTTTTTATGATTCAGAAGGCATAAATTCGCTTATTATTTTATTATTAAATTCAATTATTTAATTTTCATTTTAGTATATTTAAATATTATTATTAGAGTTAATTTAATTATTATTTATGTTTATTTAATTATTATAATTACATTATTCGATTATTATATTGTTTTATGCATTTATTTAATCTATTTATGTGTTTTACTATAGAATTGCAGGAAAAATTAATGGATGAAAATATGCATTTTAATTAATGGTAAAAACACATGATTATAATATGTATTTTTAACGGATTTAGTTTAATGATTTTTAGGCATGATTTTTTCGAACTTATTTTCGAAATCCTTCCATTATTTGATTTTTTTTAATTTGTTCTTTGGTTTACATTCTTATTTTTTGTTAATAAATATTATTATTATTATTATTTTTAAATTATTTTAGTATTTTTTTTTTTTTTTTTTAAAAAAAAAAAGAAATTATAAAATATTATGTAAGTATTTTATATATTTTGTTAATTTATTAATACTATAAATGTATTATTTTTATGAATTTTATTAGTAATTTTTATTTTTTCGAAATAGTTTTTTTGTTTTTAATGTAAATTTCTATTAATTCAGAAAATATCTTTTTTATTTTATTTTATTTTATTTGCTAAAAAATTGAAATATTTTATAAAAGTTTAATTTTTTTTGTTTTTTTTGTTTTTTTTTTCCTTTTCTTAAAAAAATAAATTTATATTTTAATCTTTCCTTTTTTTTTTTTTTAAAAAAAAAATATAAAATATGATTTTAGTATTAAAATTTCATTCCTCTTAAAAAAATTAAATTTTTTTTTTTTTTTTTTTTTTTTAACAAAAAATATATTGTTAAGAATTAAATATTTAAGATTTATATGCTTATTTTAAAATATTTTTTTATAAAAATAATTATTTATATAGATACAATATATTATAAATTTTATTTAACAACAACAAAAATAAACAAAAAAAATGAATAATTTTGCTTAATCTTTATAATCTTCTTAAGGAATTTAAGGAAGTACTATAAAAATTTAAAATTCATAAATTATTTTCCTTTAAATGAATCTTTATAGTAATATTAAGTTAAAGAAGTATTAAAAACAAAAGAAATAGAATAAAAAAACGAAAAGAAAATAGAAGAAATAATACAAAATTTTCTTAATTAAGAAAATTAATAACTTAATATAATTCCAAAAAAAGGTAATTTAGACTTAAAAAAATTTCTAAATAAAAGACTTGAAAAATTAAATAAAAGAACTGAAAAGCAATTATAAAATTATTATGTAAAATAAATTATATAAATTATATATAAATTTTTATATTTATAGAAGCAAAAATGAATGGAGATTAATAAATTAATGAAGAAAATGAAAATAAATAAGAATAAGTAGAAAATACATAAAACTTAGATTTATTAAATAAAGTATATAATCAAATATGAATCATGATTAAGAAATTTATGAAGAAGAAGATATTAAATTAAATCTATAAGACGGGAATTAAATTATATAAGCTTTATTGCATAAGAATAATTATATAATGTAAATTATTTATATTTATATATTATTTTACATTTATTAATTTCAACTAAATATATAATTAGAAAATAGATTAAGATTCAGATTGATTTATTTATTAAAAAAAATATATATATATATTTTTATGAAATACTATAATATGTGCAATATAATTGTTTTATTTTATTTTATTTTGTTTTGTTTTTAATTTATAAAAAAAAAAAAATGTTATGAAAATAATTTGTAATTTAATAATAATATGAAAAAAAAAAAAAAAAAAAAAAAAAAAAAAGATTTTTGAATAAAACTAATTAATGTAAACATATATATTAATAAATTAAAAATATTAGAAAAAATAAATATAAAAAAGTCAAAATTTATAAAAAGACTTTTAATAAAAGGCTTAAATGATACAAATAAATGCAATATTTAAATATATAAAAATAAATATAATAATATATAAATTATTTATTAATAATAAATAAAATATTTAAATTTTTATAATAATTAATATGTTTATTATAAAACAAAAAAATAAATATAATTTTAAAATTATAACTTATTTGATAATATAGATACATTTATTATATGTATTATATAAAATAAAAATATTTTTTTTGAAATATATATTTATTAAAAATTCAAATACATTTTGTAAAAACTATTAATTATTGTAAATTATAATAATTATATTATGTAAAAAAGATATTTATAAAAAATATAATCTTAAGAAAAAAAAGAAAAATTTAAATTAATTCATACCAATTAATATATATATAAAATTATTAAAATAAAATGTTAATATAAAAATATATATGAATATATGTATAATAAAAAAATATATAAAAATATATATATATAAATATATTTATAAATATTTATATATATTTATATATATTTATATATTATAAAACAAAAATTAAAAAAATTTTAAAATAAATTTTAATTTATTCCTATTAAAATAAATAAAACTAAATTATACAAAGAAAAATAAAATATATAATAATATTATATAAATAAATTAATTTTGATTAAAAAATATTTATTTATTATTTTTTATTTAAAAAAAATAAAAAAAATAAATAAAAATAATAAAACTATCAATTTATATAGAAAAAATAAAATAATAATATGAAAGCAAATAATAATTCCAATTTAAAAATAACACTTTAAAATTAAAATAAAAGTACATTTAAATCATGCAGTTCATCAAAACAAAAAACCCAATTGTTTTTAAATAAAAAAATATATATATTAACATAATATTAAATTTATATTATTTTGTAACGTATTTATTTTTTTATCCTTTAGTATTAATTCAAGAATGTTAGATAATCATTATAAACCAGAAGTTCATATAGGGCCTTGGATTGCCCCAGGTAAATAACCTGATTAGTAAAAAATAAAAATATATTTTATTAAAATTAATTAAATAAAAGTAAATATGATTTTTAAGAATGTGGTTTAGGCTTTGTTATAAATGATAAATATTAAAAATAAATGGATAATAAAAGAAGTTAACTTTAAAATATATAATCTGATTTAAAAGAATTCCCAGAGTTTTCTAATATTAGAGAAAATGAAGTTTTTGTATTTATTGAATATTGGTA